TTTCAATTTCGTCGTTTTTGTGTGTTCTTTAGGGATTATTTATTACTTAAAATCTAACTTAAAGTTACGCCAACCACTGCCTTTTGTATCCATGCTTTGTAATTTGATTTCGTTAACACAAATGACTGCAAATTTGTCATGTGCTAAAACCTCTTCTCCTTTTGTTGAACAGATGTGAAGAGATCAAGTACAATGTTGCTAGTATGATGACTAGGGATCTATAATCACCATAAAGTACATTAAACATAATACTTACTGGAACACCAGTCTGATATGCAAGAATAAATTGTGGCCATGTTGGCGCTAGTGTCGCTCAGCTGCTGGCTATGCAGGCTGTACTGGACGGGGAACAATTAATGTTGATAACTATAAATGCACATTAAGTATAAAAGTGAATGTGTCTTCAAAGGGCGCACTTTTTGTAAGTTGTTCAAATATTGATAAAGCAATAGAAACGCATTAGAAATGTATTGCTTTAAGAAATACTGCACCCGTAAAAAGCCACTGCTACGAACGTCATATATTGCTACCGAAAGTCATTGGTTTCAATCGAAGTCGGTTGTTTCTAGTGATAGTCAGTTGTTGCAATGGTAAGTCACTAGAAGTCATGGACTGTAAATAATTAACATTGAAGCCACTAGTTAAAATGCAATGCTTTCCATGGATTTCACTGGTTGCTATTGGAAGTCACTAATTACCATGGATGACCAATGGTTTCTATGGCAGTCACTGGTTGCTATGGATATCGCTGGATCCTAAGAAAAGCCACTGGTTGCAAAGATCACTGGTTGTTTTGCAAGTCACTGGTCACTGTCATTGGTTGTTATGGAAATCACTGGCCACCGTCATTTGTTGTTATGAAAGTCACTGGTAAGTATGTTATGTCACTGGTTGGAATTAAAGTTACTGAATACTTTTGAAATTCATTGGTTGCTTTAGAAGAATTATCTGGTACTATTAAAAATGGTTGTTCCGGGTTAAGGCAAATGTTGATTTCAGAGCTAGAGTTTGAACAAAATTTTTAAAAAATACAAATGACAAACATTTAAACTCTATAATTTGTGTTTTTTACAATATAGATATAAAGAAAACACATGACACTAAGGCTTTTATGGAAAGACCTTGTTATTGAATAGACGATATACATACCAAATATCTAAACTTTTGACATTGCGCTTCGGAAGAAGATGCTTTTCAAAGAATGGATACTTTTGTTTAATGAGCACTTAACGTTTCCAAATAGTAATATTTCAATCATTAGTTCTTTTTAAAGGTGCATACCTCCAGATGGACAAAAACATTTCAATAAAATCAACCGTGAGAAAAATGTACTAAGATTTAAAAAAAAGTAAAAATAGTCACAATTCAAGTAATTTACATGTTATATGCCATAAATGACTGATTTTGCAGTATTTATAACCAATTTTATACTGCATTACTAACGCAATAAGGGCAATATTTGCATATTTTGACATATGTTTAGCAATTTTCGTAGATTTTAAGTGCAGCTTGTAATGTGTAAATTACTTTCTTTGTTCACTTGACAATATTTTACTTCTTGAAGCATTTTAATTTTTTTTATAAAAATTAGCATTTAACACTGACAGGTAAATATACCTGATATGAAAGTTTTGACTTGAAGACAATATATTTCGGCAGACCTCTCAAATTAAATATCATTTTGAAAACAGCAAGACAGAAAAACTAGAGAAAACTGAAAGTTTTATATATTGTATATATTGTATATCTTTACATGAAACCTGGATTTTAAGACATATTAATCTTTTAAATACTTAATGGATTTTCATTTGATGCAATTATCTGTGCAAAACATGTTAGCTATACAATAAAATATATGTCAGATTCTCGTTTTCCTTTACATAACTTCTTGTTTTGCAATAATTCAAAGGATATAACATAGGAAAGCTCGATCAGTGATTGAACTGAATATATATAATATTCATAAGCGAAATTTAAAAATACGATCTGAAACCTATACTTTTTTAAACAGTAAAGAACTAATTAAGAAATAAACTCTGTAAATATCCTTCGTCACTTATCAAAAATGCAGGTTTGATTCATTTTCGGTCTTTTACGCAAGGACTTAGATTGCCGAACAAGGAGGTTCTTGCTGTCGCAAAAGTAGGATTTAAAACTACTTAAAGAACATAAAATAACATATCTTAGTTCTGCTTTTTCTTCTCCATATGTCGCGTATTCACAAACATAGTTATTGATAAGGTAATTCTTTAAAAGTGACAATTTCAGGTAGACACTGTTAATAAACATGAATATGGTATGCTGCATAAGCCAGACAAAATGTTCCCTTTTACATTATTGGCTAAATTACGGAGCCCTTAAGGTGACATTTTCACACTTCCCGTCAATTCATAATAACGAAGTATTCATTCGTTTTAACGAGATAATTATTCGTTTTGAAGAGATAATAATTCGTTTTAACAAAATATTAATAAGTAAAAATTAGAAATTCGCCTTTACAAAATATATATAAGTAAAAATTAGAAATACTAGATCGTTTTTACAAAATAATAATTCGTTTATACGAAATATTAATTCGTTTTTACGAAATATTAATTCGTTATAATTACAAAATGATAATTCGATTTTACAAAATATAAATTCGTTTTTAAGATATATTAATTCCTTTTTACGAAATAACTTTTCGTTTTTACAAATTAATATTTCGTGAAAACGAATTAATATTTCAATATTACGAATTATCACCTTAATGTCAAATTAGGGGCTCCGTAATAAATCTCTTAGTAGCCTTTCATTTTCTTATAGGCAAAGAAGTGATATTTCATATTCTCTTAAAAAAACTATAGCACTTATAAACGTGTGTAATGGTGATTCACTAACAAAAGTGTTACAGCATGTACTATACAGAAACATAACTCTAACAACCGCAAGGTAAGACATTATTGTATCATAGTTCGGAGACTTTTCTGTTGAAAATGTGTCAGGGTTAAATCGTATACATATACATGCACAGTGCGTTAACTGGAGTGCGGGTATTAGTTACCCGCACTCCAGAGCATGCCCATTGATTGGCTCATTTTTGCTGGGGTTTACATATTGTGACGGCAGAGAAAGGGAAAGCGACAGAAATTTCATATTCAGATGTTTGTTCATTGGTTCATTTTTGCCGGGGTTTCATATTGTGACAGCAGGGAACGTGCTTTTATGTTTGACTATGATACAAAAGAGAAAGAACACCAAAACACTCGGCAATCTGATTTATACTCGGGGGCTACGCCCCCTTGTACAAATCAGATAGCCTCGTGTTTCGGTGCTCTTTCTATTACATAACTTCCCATAGTCAAATAATTTAATCATAAAAAGAAACTTTGGTCCTGTGATTGGGAATGCGTTTATTAAATCATTAAATGCTACACTTCCTTGTTTCCATATCTTAAAAAAATCTAACCTATTTAATATCAGCTAATAACACGACGGCAAGTTGAAGCGTTAAGCATGTTGTATGGCATAAGTAAACAGAGAAGCTGTTTTGGGTAAACGCTAATAATACAACAATGCAAGGAAACAAAAAAAGTACAATAGCAAAAATACAGTTCATTTACTTTGCTTTAATATATACACCACTTTGGACAAAAAATAACTGTTTAAAACAAACGTATGAATGCTTCAAAAACTGATTTTTAAATAGTGTGCGGGAAGCACCGAATTCCTGTGTACAACGACGCTCAGTTGACAATTGTTTATGTCTTGTCTAAAGACGTATTGTTCTGTGATATTTCAATGAGTAATACATATCCAAGGCTTTGGCTTTATAAAGTAAGTAATATTGTCTTATATTCGACTAAAATATTGTGTATGTCAAGGTTATTAATGACTATAAATGCATTTGTTAGCCGGAATATATGATGTAACATGTTGAATGATCCACACTAATCATCGTACATCAAATTTTGAATAATAAATTTTCATGATCATCAAAACTTCAATCTTTCAGAAATTTTAAGAACGGTGTGTTGTTTACCATATGTTTTCATTAAGAATAATTGTCAAACGACAAATACATAAATTACTATAGATTACAGTTTTTTTGTATTAAACACATACTGAACGTTTTTCTACTATTACATTGTATTTACTATTTACGTTTCGCCATTCAAATCTTAATACGTTTTTACATAATGATTGCTTTTACAGTTTGGGATGATCATATATATGCAATAATAATTTGACTACTCTTTTGTTCCCTTTTAGAACAGTATTAAATTAGCCATTTTTAATTTGTTGTTAACAGATACACATACAAACTGTTACTAAAATTAGTTGTTAAAATTATTCTACATTATGTTTCCACTGAAGCTGCACTTTTAAAAAAAGTACTTTTTTCATTTTCATAACAAGGTTTGTTTTTTATAATAATAATAACAAAAAAATCATAACTACAATAATAAAACTGAAACACAACAACAGCAATTACAACAACAGCACCCCAATAAATTGAGATTTAGAAGTTTTGTTCTTTTAAAAAACCTTTGAATAATCAATGAAAACAAGCATGATCCTTGGGTCGAGAGGCAGACACCTTAACTATTAGCCCACCACTCCTCCTAGCAAAATTGTGTGTTGATTGTGGATATCAACAGCAATTCTTGAAAATTCTTGAAAATTGACAGCAGTACGTACTACAGTTTCAGTTCTAGCTACAATTATTAACGCCACACAATTATGTAAAAGGATAAATAATGAAAATATACAGGAATAAAAACAATTGTTACAGTTTTGTTTTCAATTTACGAATAAAGAGAAGAAAGTACGGATATTAAAACGCAAACGTAATATATATATATATATATATATATATATATATATATATATATATATATATATATATATATATATATATATATATATATATATATATATATATATATATATATATATATATATATATATATATATATACAGGAATCACACTCCTTTGCTATCCACTTAAAATGTTTACATATTTTATCATATGCAACATATAGGTTTTCATATACACACAAGCCATCACAGACTATATATCATATGTATGGCAAATAAAAATGTTTTGATATATAAGGCCGTTTCTTTATCCAAGAAAGTCAACAGCAACGAAAGACTCGTTGCCTGTTTTTCTATCCTTTGCTTGAACAACTATTTCTGTTCCGCTGAATGTGAAGGCAACTAAAACCTCCCGATCCAATGCCCCGTCATGATCGTCTAAGTCAATCTGCAACGTACCAATATGAATACACCCCTCGTCTGTGTAAATCGGGTTTGGTTTGTCTGATGCACACACAGAAAATGACATCTGTTTCTGGGATTTATATTGAGGACTGTAGGTACGCCAAACTTGTGGTTCCCCAACTTTAACCTTTTGATCTATTTCGGCATGTTTGCTAAAGACCTTCTGACATACCATGCCGTTGTCCGTAATGATACATTTACTTGGTGGGTGACGTCCCAGTACGAACTTCTCAAATGTCTCAATCCCATATGTATGTCTTAGAACACGTTCAATAATGACTTTTGGCAAGTGGCCAAAAATGGTTGCTCCTTTAAGAACGCAGGTTGAGGCTTCTTCGGGAACAATTACATCTATTTCTTTAAATGCTGACTTCACGGCATTCTGTAAAACTAGACACTCAGAAAATCCACCAACCATTAAAATTGCCGAAATATTAACATATCTTGATGTCAAAATACTTTTTATCATGTGCACTGTGCTTTCGACAGATGTTCTGAACCATGATCTAGCAAGTTCTGGTGAAAATGTTATTTTGTCTTTGACAATTTTAATGTCATTGTCATATTTTGAATTTTTCAGAGCATTGGCTAATATTTCGTTACTGACAAGTTTATACCTTTTTGCAAGCGAGGAAGGAAGTTTAATTCTTAATGGTGAATTTGAAGATGTAGTTATCGTTCTTTTCCTGACCTCAAATTCTCTCCAGACATCAAGCCAGTCATCTGTATTGTCTCGTTTAAAATCCTCGTAAACATCTCTTGAGACTAAAGTGACTAATAAACTCTCGAATTCCTTATCAACGATAGTGCCACCCCATCCGCTTCCACTAGCTGCATGTATTTCCTTTATATTGTTATCATTATCTACCTCATGTACTGTTATATCAATCGTTCCACCTTAAAATTGATCATACAAATATTGCATTATATAAAAAATATTTGTCAGTTTTAAGAAGGGTAAAAAGGTCTATTTTGTATTAAAAGAAAAAGCGAACATTAACAACGATGTCAAGGTATGATTTTCAACGATTTTTCCTCAATTTTTATAATATATGTTTTACAGGAAACAAACCAATCAAGTGGCTCTTGTTACATAATCTTTAATCTTAAGTATTTAATTTAAAGATTAAATTTAATTTACAATGCTAATTTATTTGTATTAAATAATTAAATAAATAATTGTATTATTTGACAATTTGAGATATAAAATGGGATGACAACTTATTTTTTATCAGAATTCTTAAATCTTTGTAGGTATGAGACACTGCATTGGGAAGTGATGTCAAATGAAAATAATCTTCGGAAATATTTGTTATTGTCCTTTAATTAAAAAGAAATTAATCCATTGTCTGGAAAGAAGGATAAAACTATTTCATTGATAAAATTATTTAACCCTGTTGTAACAATGACAACAATAATGTAAGCTTAGCAAAGCATGTACTTTAAACAATTTTGTTACAATATATTTTTATTTACATACCACCCGCATCTAGGACCAGATACTGTGCTCCGATTGATAACGAGGAAATGTTGACACCCGTGTCGGAAGTTGTAGCTTCTATTGGTAAGTAACGACAAAACATCGATGCAGCTTCTGGTTCCAAAGCTATTGTTAGTCTTTTACTCTGTATACCAGTCTTTAAGATATTTCTACACTTATTTCCATTTAATTCTATACTACATGGCATTTTCACTCCATCACCAGAAGCGAAATATAGCCACATTCCCAATAAAACAATAGCCTATTTTTTTCCAATTGAAAAAGCCAACAGCAGCAGAATAAATCTGTTATATTTTTTTTAGGGAAAATGTACACTTTTGAATGGGTTCTTTGCAACAAGTTATATAATCATAGACATTTTATTAAGTTAAGTGTCATGAATAAGTTGGATTTTTAACTTTTTAAGATTTTGCAAATTTCCAAAAATGTTGAATTCTTTTACCGAAAAGTTGCTGATAAGGTCCTATATTATTAGTTCTTATGATAAGTAATACTATATTTTATTTTATTACACACTTTTTAAAAAGGAACATAAAATATAAAATGATGAGGTACTATTTATATTATCACTTTGAAAGTAGTCTATCATAAAATGCAAAAATAAATTTATTGTTAAAAAGTGCTTGTAAAAAAACTACTACCACTACCACCACCACGACGACTACGACTACAACTACCACTACGACTACCACTACCACTACCACTACTATAACTACTACTACTCCTACTACTACTACTACTACCTTAAATGAGCAAATTTTCTTTTTGAATTTAAATAACTACCATTATTGCAGCTTCCCTCATAAACTGTTTTGATCCATCCGTCCAAATAGCAGGCACTGTTAACACCCAGTGTATATCATCCAAACTGATGTTTCCAGTATGTTTGTTGCACAACATACCTAGCAAGACGTCTTTGAGAAACTTGATGCCCATTGCAAAAACGTCCATAGCACGCAGCGATCTGTTCATTGCGTCTTCTAGTGTCATGTTTCTATCTAGCTTCTATAATAATACAACAAGTTTACGCGAAGAATGATGAATTGTATTCTCGAAGACAAAACATACGTATCACGTAAAATAAAAATAGGCTATTGAAATACATGTCTTCATATCACCATGGTGACGCTAAGCATTTAGCCTACAATAACAAGGTATTTTTATATAATTTCTATAGAGGATTAATTATTATAATTAAAGTTGAAGAACATGATTCTTTTGTAGAAAATTCTATTGATGTGTAGACTAACAGTTAAAAATAATCTTAAAAAGTTAACATTTATATAACCTTCCCAAGCTTCATGTTTAACGACATCTTAAAACGTTCAAAATAAAAGTAATCCTTATGCTCATCATTTGCTGCTAAATTTTCATATTCATCTTCAGCTTCATATCCGAAAGCTTTGACTGTTTTTCCATCTGGTTCTATTAGAATACTCGTAGGAGTCTTAACTGTTATGCCAGTGCCCGAGTTCCACTTTTTCGTAAATGCCTTTGCCGGATCTGCGTCGAAGTTTGCACGAAGAGAATAAGCACAACCAGAGTAAGTAGTACCAAAATCAATTGCAGCTACAATAGCTGAATCACGGGCCTAGAAGCAGAGAAAGAATAAATTGATATTGTTTCCTTTAAGTTAACGTTTAACAGACTCAGATGAAGTTTTATACATAACAGACTGGAAATAATTCGAGATTTATGTATCATTTGATGTTGGTTTTGACAAAACGATTGTGTGAAAAATCATTTCCTCAGTTGTTTTTAAGAATAGTTATTTTAATTGGAATTTGACAATGAACAATAAACGCTTCACACTTTTTTATGTAACTCAGAGTGAATTTCTACATTATATTTTGCAAATATAGTACACTCCTCTTCCCCAAAGCTCAATTGGGAAATCTTCAGATATTTCTCCAATGGTTGCTAGTTCGATCCACAAACAGGTGTAAATACTCCGTGACAATTTTTGTCTCGCATTTTGCACAGGCTTTCTATATATCCGTCATTTAACTGCGTTGTTCGTTTAAGACAATCGGCCACACGTTCGGTTTCATTGTGAGGTATACCGTGCATACGATTTAGTTATTCGTGAAAATGAACGGAGTTGCAGCAATCTTATTGTCTTTGAGAAAATGGAGTTCCAATTGCAATGGACACGTCCGTCAATTTCCAAATGATAGATCAAAGGTAATAGTTTATATTGAAATCCAGTCTAGTGGTCCATTTTCTCTCGCTGCTGATTCAGAAATAATGTGGGATAAGAAATCGGTCACATGTAGGAAATTGGAAATTACTAATAAATTTTTAAGAAAAACGGGTAAGGTTGACCAACCGCCGAGGTTTTACCCAATGTAATTAATCAGTTTTGTTTCTTTCTCATTTCCGATTTAAAAACTTAAAAATCATTATAAGAACTTCAACCATGTCAAATCTGGTATGATATAAGTACATGTATCACAATTTAGAAAAAGGTATGATACTATTAAAAGTATCTTAAAAAGCGATAAATGAAAAAAAATTACATTTCTTATAAATAAAGTATAGATTCATATTGCTAAGTTCGTCTAGAAAGTTTCCATGAGTATTTACAGTATCGGTACGTTGATTCCCCTTCATATAAGCTTTAAAAATACTTAAGCAAATGATTTTAAAAATCAAATCAAATCGTCAAAGAGTTGCTTACTGCATTATATTACTATTGCTATAACCTAGTACAATATTTTGGAGATTAAAAATATTTTACAGATTCCAATCGATTTAAAGGTTTCAATAATTCGTTTAGAGAAAACATCTAGCGATCGGCTCTGATGAAAGAAATGTTCAGTGCAATAGCATTAAACGCAGTTTGTATTCTTGTATAATTTTCATTCGCGATTGTTATCCTCTGTCGGTATTTTATTGTGAATAAGTTTATAATAGAAATGTTTATGTATATATTTCGATTCGTCATTTTATACTTAGGTCCACTTTATACAACGGAAGGTTATATTCAAGTATTATACCCAATAAGCGATGAATGTATGAATTTTCTGCTTTATTGTTGAGAATGTTTTAAGTTGTTTGATTCAGTTTGATTCTTTCATGAGTAGAGGTGGAAAGTCAGTTTTAACCCTAGTTGTGATTGATTTGTTGGGATTTTAAGTTGTTAAATTTCTAGAGTTGTGTTCTAGCTTTTCGTAGCGTGTAAATTTTAGATAGCCAAACTAAGTAATAAGATGTTCACAGATAGATAAAATTATTTATAAAAATAATGTCGGGAGTTTATCCAATAAAATAAAAATGAAGACTGTTTGTCACATAAAATCTGTTCATTACCCCAAATTTCCTCCTTACGTATATCAATGAAGTGTCTTGGCTAATTATTATAAATATTCTTAAATAAAACCATTGTTTCATAAGTTCGTTATAGAAATAAGATAAAGTATGATAATACTTGTTTGGTAATCTTTAGGCATATTTTATGTTCAAGTTATAAACAAGGACATTCTTGCCGAATTTATTTTAGAAAAAAAAAACTTTTGAAAGAAGAGATTTTACAAATTTGATTTAATCATAGTGCAAAACTGTCAAGTCAATCATGTTTAAATGTATTTCTTTTCATATTTTCAAGTTTATTGTACGAAAAGTGTATATATATATGTATTATAATATAAATATGAATAATAAATTGAGTTTCTTTCTGTAAAATCAAATTGATTGGATTAAGAAGTTAAATGTTGGAAGCTTATTTTATGATAATGACTCGGCTTTCTTTTCTCCCATGTATAATCAATAATAATAAGTGTTTATTGTTGTTTAGTTTATTTTTCAATTCCAAACTTAACTATTCACGTTTTTTGTTATTTATGCCAAAGAACACGCCTTTAGCTTTCATTTATTTTCTCCCCATTTAATTTTAGATAATTTAAAATTCGCAAATTTATCCCTTATCTTTCAAATTAAGTTGAAGATAAAAACGCAAAAGTTTATAATGCATTCTGTGCATTTTAAAACCATCGTGGTATTGTCGGCTTGTTGCGAAATTTGCATCGTTTATTTGTTATTTAGAAGCTATCGACGTCATTTTTCTCTCGATTTAATTTTGGTAAGACATTGGCAACGATAATAAAAATCAATGATATTCCACACCCCTGTCTGAGACCATGTGTTAGATTTTTATTTATATCACACCAAAAAAGCTAAATAAACATTGCTTAAAAGTTAAATTTTAAATGAGTAATAACTGAAAAATCTAATCTAACTCGATCGAAAGCCTTTCTGTAATCTAAAAAGGCAGAACGTTTCCATCAATGTTATGTTTTCCACAATAGGTAGTAAAGTCTATATTTGTGGCATATAATTGCCAATAAAAAAGTTTTATGTAACCTTCTTGATTGCTGTCTATATGATGTTCGGAAGTACTTTTGTAACCTAATCGCGAGAATTATAGTTAAAAATTTATAGTCGTTTATAGCAATGATATATATGAGAAGCCAGTTGTCAAAAAACCTACCTTGTCAATTTTTTCAATCTGACCCAAACCAAGACCAATTATAACTGCTCCTTTCAACGCCGCTTCTGTGTTTTTGTCATAAAATACAACGTTCTTGTTAACAAATTTCGTTTTAACACCATTCTTCAACATCGGTTGCTTCGCGAATTCTCCAAAGACAACAATTTCATCAATATCAGCTAAAGTGGGTATGACGGAGATGATCTGTTGTACGGATGGATCAATAACTTTTTTTATCAGTTCTGCGGGAAAATATACTTTATCACATGTTATCGAAATGCCTTCAATTGATTCATTTCCTGGAGAGAATTTGTGTAAAGTAATATCTTTCTTTAAACTATTCAAAAATGAATAATGAAATTTAAGTCTAAAAACATCTGATGTGCAAAGATCAAACGTGAGTGCTTTTCTCAGGAAATCAATTTTCAACTCCGACCAGTCTTGTTTTGAATGTGTTTTAAATGATGTACACAAACACTCTCCAAATATGTCGGTACAAAACTTCTTGAATGCTTTCTTTAACAATCTGTTGCCCGCTTCTTTGTATTCAACACCTTTATATTCTTTGATTATTCCCAGATCAGGCGACTCATGTACTGCAATGGTTGTAAAATAACCTAAAAATATGCAATGTATTTTTATACTTAACCATATAAAAATCGTTCTGCAAATAGCAAATGTCAAAAAGTATATTTCTAAAACTGGAAACAAAACAACATGAACAAAGAATCGTTTAATGTATATTTCAAAAAAATAATTCGAAATATGATCAGATTTAGTCCCCGAGTTTAAAAATTTTAAAGATGATACATAAACGCATAAACGAGAATTTAAACAAAAACATTGGGAAAAATAAGTTACTAAAAATAAATATTATAAAGGAAAAGGGAAGGTCCCTCGTGATAATGAATATATAATTTTGGATCTATTAAAAAATATGTATTTCTATTCCTACTTCCGGCATTGATAATCATAAATTTCTTTCCGATGCTAGATGTCTTGTAATGTGTTTCTTTCTGGTGAAACAAAGATACTGCGTCTATCTCAGTTACAACAATTAGCTGTTTCATATTTATTCCAGCCTATAAATAAACATTGTAGATATGCCTAAAAAAATCGAGACAGATTTCAGTGTAGAAATGTTTATTGGACATGTTATAAAGCTTTTGTTCGGCAAAATAAAACTTTTCGGAAATTTGAAATTTGTCCGGCAAATTGCAAAAAGACAAGAAAATGAAAAGGCTCTTGTTTTTGTTTGACTCTTTCCTTGAAATCACGTAACAAAAATAATAATCTGAAAAATATAAAGATTTTAATAAACATATCTATTTTAATAAACATAAACATACTATCAATTGATTTATATTTTGTGTGTAAAATAAATGCAAAGATTTACAAGTTAATCATATAAATGCAATTAGTTAATTCATTAGCAACCACACCAATCACAGGAAAAAAATACTTAGAGTAAGTTCTATGGACATATAGTTCATAAGATATAGCCCGACTTGCAATGATGCATTTCAGGTTATGCGCTTTCATAATTTCATAATTATTGTTCCTTATCCCAGTGCTGGATAAAATAGACGCAAAAAAGAAAAATCGTCATATCTGTGCAATACATAATTTATCAACTGTTTGAAATGCCATCCATTTATGATAATAAACATGTTTGTCAATAATCGGAACCTCCTCAGCTATAATGACCTCGAAGTTAAAACGGATTGAAAATAGTTATACCACGTGGTTTCAGATGTAAACAAAAACAGAAAGTGTAATCCTACATAATGTAACACGAATGTATATATTTGGCATCTTAACGAAGAAAAGGTCTATTTCGGTACTATTCGGCTTAAGCAGAATTACATCCAGCACATTCTAAGAACAGGTTAAATCACCAGAGCCTGCAACATTTTTCGTTTTCCATTTCCTACAATTAAGATATGTGATATTGTCCTGTTGACCTTCTTAAAACTGATAATTATCTGCTGTTTTAGTAAATATTTACATTGCCCCTAGGGGCACCTGTGTCAATAAATACAATGATAGAAAAACATATCACTGTAACTTTTACTCTTTAAAACTGCATTGTCAAAAGCTTGGCTATTTGACACGTGACATTGCTTACTTGACTTCTATAAAAGTTTTATCATGACCCTGGGTAAAATTTTCACCATCTTTGAGGTTTCGTAAATTAATCTTATTTCTTTATAAAGATTTCTTGAGATTTTTCACTACTTAATTATGAAAACAGTATTTGATATAAATGCCTTAATTTGAAGTTTTCTACAAAACCTTAATAAGCAATTATCTTAAAACTAAAATAATCTTGACCTCCGGATCACATGTCTTATGTTGACTGACGTATAAGAAACACATTTAATCTTTTTGTAGAAAACTACAATGTCCAGAGCGTATTTATGTTGCCTAGTAGATCTCTTCAAAGAATTAATAATCATACACAAGGATGACAAATTCTTCAAATTTCGGGTCGATAACGAATTTATAATCGTGTTTCGTGAAAGGTCTATTCACTAATTAAAAAAATATTTTTGAATACTCAGGCAAAATGTTATTCGAGCGTATAGTACCCCTCCGAAGCGCGGCTAATCTTGTTAATTTTATTCTGTTGTGATATGTCGTAAATATTGGCTTGCTTAATCAATTTTCCATACTTTGTTTATCTTAAAATAAACAAGTGATAACTTTGTTTTATGCTATACATATAAACAACTGTTCATGAATAATATCACTTTAGTTAAAAGTTTGTGTATTACTAAGAAAAAACATGTAGAAAATAATTTCTCTTTTCGTTATAAAGAAACCGATACTAAAATTAAATATAGTTTGTTTATGCTCTATCAAAAACAAAGTTTAATTAAAAATGAAAACGACAGACCTCAAGAGCGGCGTTCCTCATAAAATCAATTGCCCCAATTTCTTGAAATATTTCTGGTACAATAATAACATAGAGTTTGTCGCCTTCCAATAAAAGCGGACACAGTCTTTGACTTTCTCTTTTGAAGAATTCTACAACAAGTGTGAATACTTTTAAGGCAGGAAGTGTTTTTCCATTTTTTGCTTTCAGATGAAGATCGCTGTTCTAAAAAGAAATGTTATAAACATCAACAGGTTATTTACTTGCCAATCAATGCATTCCTTAGGACTAATATAACCAATAGTGATATACAGTACAGAAATTTTGAGCCAATTTCATTCGTCGTATATGTGTAACAATTAATTGAATTATACAAATAACATGCATCTACGAATTTAAACAACAATTAACTAAGCTAAATTTTGTTCATACTTGCTTCAATGGCACTAAAAATAACATACCGTGTCACAGAGTCTGTACTTATGGAAATGTCGCGTTTTAAATTATTTATTCAAGAAGTTAATTAAATGTTGTAGAATTTAGATCAGGTATAATTAATATATAATTGATTGTATAGGAAGATATGCACTTACAATTTTTGAATCAACCAGTACTAAGCAATGAGTACAAAGTTTAAAACAAGAGGGCCATGATGGCCCTTATATCGTTCCCTGATTATGAAGGCTCAGTCCCATTTTATTTGTGACCTAGCTTTAACTAAAACTATCACTAAATGTGTTAAATACACCCGCAAGACTGTTTTGGAAATGAGGAAATTACTAGTAAATGAATACCTTGTAAAAGAATTTGAATAGAGTTATGGTTGTCGGTAATTAAAGATAGTTGTGGTTCTTGTACGTTGCATTTCCTTTTACTGTGGTTGACCATATATATAAAAAGTCATCTCAACATACAAAATTACACCACTGTTCTAAATTTCAAGTCTGTACATACAAACAAGAAAGTATGTCAAGCAATATCAAAGATATCAAAAGTAGGCCAGTTGTTTTCAAAATTTAATTCAGGATAGCAAATTGCACCCCTTGTCAATAGTTTAAGTCTGTACAGCAAAAAACGAAAACCTAGGTCAAACGATATCATTAATATAATAAGTATGTCAGTGGATATCAAAATTCAATTTGGCATCGGTCTGTACATCAAAACACAAGAAAGTAGGTAAAATTGTTTCAATAATCCCAATAACAGCTCAACTGTTTTCAAAATTGAATTACGCACTTGAAACAGATAACGGGTTAAAATGAAAAAAAAACTATGACAATCAATAAATAAAAAATGTAAGTCAGGTACAATAAACAAATTTAATTTTTCTTTCGGCCTTTTTTTATTTTCCAGGAGTATTTTCTACACTGACCTAAAACTGATCTTGCAACAATATTATTACTATGATGTAATAGTATCTAAATATAAAATGCTTAAAGTTAGATTCCCAAATAGAATATGATTTTATTTTATTGTTACATTGTTACAAGTTCTTTAGGTGTTATGCTACATACAAAATATCTTGGGTTTAGACATTATTTTCATGGAAGAGTTCTATAATTTCCCTAGATACCAGCTCTAGGCCAGGAGAAGATTAGTAAATTTATACTTTATGTATAAAATGGAAATCGATGAACCCCGGGGCGGGGCATTTTTGACCAAAGTGCTTTAATTTGAACAATCGTGATAAGGGTCTTCTACACAATGTTCCATGCCTAATATCTAGCCTTTTTCGAAACAGAGAAGATGATTCTTTAAAGTTTTTACTATATACATATAAGGAAAATCAATGACTCCTGGGACGAAACAAATTTTGATCCCAGGTTTATGATTTGAACCATTTTTGTTTTGTTTTCACCAGATGAGGCAAAACACATAAAATATCTTAGCTCAAAGCCTTGCACTTTCAGAGGAGATTTTAAAGTTGTACTACATACATATAAGAAAAATCAATGACCCCCTGGGGCGAGTCTAATTCAGGGCTATATTTGAACATTTTTGTAGATGATGCTACACACAAAATATCTAAGCTATACCTTGCACTTTCAGAGATGAATTTTATTGATATCTACTGAAAAATCCTTTTAAGCTCTCCTGACCCACATGTTCAATTGAACAGAACCATTTGAACAAATTTAATAGAGCTTCATGCAAGGACAATCCTCATCAAATTTTGCTTAGTGTTTTCTGAGAAGAAGTTGTTTGCATAAAATTTTTACTTCGGGCGCATGGACGCACTAACAAATTGTAATCTCAAAAAGACACATTGAGCGCTTTGTTTGCCCATGACAGGGTTTATACCAACACGACAATGCTGACACAATAACCACTCGACCATGTCGCTTGATTACAGTATGGGCTCAAAATTTAAAAAAGGCTTTCATTTTAAAACACAAAAAAACAAACACACATGTTCTATCTTTGTCAGTCATATAAAAGACATGTATCTTTAATACGCGAATACGGGTAATTGTTTTCATAGATTTAAATAACTACTATGACGTGATTCCTTTGTTCTGACCGTACTGTAGTTTTAATACAGTACAGGTAGGTGTCCAATATTAATGTGTAAGTCCAATATTGCGCATTTTGCATAATTTTACGAAAAGAACAATAGTTGTTATCTTGCTCATTTAACGAATCATTATTCCAAGCCTACTGATTTTCGATTTGTCAAATTTTTAACATCTTATCACTGTTTACGCTTTCCAAGTGACAGATTTTTATGGGATTGTTTATTTCTTGTCTATTGTCCGTTTTTTTTCTTTCTTTTTGTTTTAAATATACGTTTACATGACAATCATACTTGATTTGCTTAATTGTATGTACGTTATGTTCCAGTAAGGTCAACTTTTCAAGTAAGTGTAATGGTCGGCTTTTCAAATAAATACAAAAGAGAAAATGAATACATCTATTTGAAACAAAAGCGGCTATATTTGACATCGTATATATAGAAACGATTCCAGACTCCTGTGGTATGACATATACCAATTCAAAAATAAGAAAATATCATTTCGTTGCGTAAATATCCAAAATTCACACTAATGGCAATTCTGACACAACATTTTACATCCTTGATAGTTGTAATAAAGTAAGAAAAATATCATTTAAACACTAAATGGTCAGTATAAATTCTTCTTCAATCATTCAAAATATCCGAGATTCAACACAAATTTGAAAACATTTCATTTTTATTATTTCTTGTAAAATCTCCAATGTAAATTGATGTATATTGTATGTGTGTTAAGTTGAACATTTTGTGTAACTGGTATATTTTGTGTATATCATTGTGTTCATGTCATATTTCAAAACACGAAAATTTCATGCTACCGACATTTTGTTATTCAAAAGGCTACCTATAGGGTTTTGCAAGTAAGAAAAAGATAATTGCTAAAACATTAATATTGCACATTTCTAGCACAAAAATACATTATTTCTAAATTTTCGATTGATAACATGATATTTGATAGTAAATGTAATAATTTAAGTAAGATATAAGCCTCAAACTGATCAATAAGTAAAATATTGAATTTCCTTCGGCGCTACGCGCCTCATGAAATTCAATATTTTACACATTGAACAGTTTTCGGCTTATATCTACTTCATAAACAACTATACACAATATTGGCATTTAAAGCACATGTCTATGACAAAGGATCTAATAAACTAGAGTAAAAAGTTGTTAACTACTTTGGAAATATACAAACAAAACATTGTACCTCCTTAAATGATTTCACCAACTTTATCGAAATATCTTTGAAGAAATAATATTGATTGTATCTGTTTGTCAGTTCGAGTTCACAATATTCCGCGTCGTATCCATAACAGTACAATGTTTTGCCATCCGGTTTAATGATAACATTCAATGGCGCTGATATTGTTTCAACACCAGAGTTTTGCCATAGCTTGCAGAACATATTTATCGAATCTTCATTAACATCTTTTCTCAAACAGAGTGCCAGTCTTGATGTCTCCATATTGAACTCTATTGCCACTGCAATTATTGCCTAGAATTAACAAACACACACACACACATCACACACATATTGTAGAACAAGTTGATAATATGTTTACTGACCTTGAGACTGACAATTTGACTGATTCTTGACAAACATAAAATACAAATTTAGGCATATTTCTACATTCAAACTCTGTTACAATAACATTTTAGTTTAGCTAATAATTTCGTTTAAATGCCATCGGTATTTCAGACATCTTATTTTTTTAATTCAATTTGCATATTTACATGATTAGTAAAAAGTGGGCAAAATATTATTCACAAACCCTTGTATTATTTTGTTTTTATTTAAATACTGATTTAATGTTTAAATTCAAATATATCCAAAATTAACTACCTTTCTTGAGTGTGATAGTACATCCTGTTTCATATGCTGTCTAAATTCTCTCCCTTTCTCCATTTTCAATCTTAAAAATAATATTGAACCGTTTTATGTTGATATAAACAGTCAAATGATATCAAAACATGTCTGTGTTGTACATATAGTTACTATAATTATATATCCTTTAATGATATCTTAAAGGGTCTCCAATGATGTATTTCGACAAGGCAAGACTTAAAAATTTAAAATTTCGTCCCGAGATTCATGAACCGTTTGATTTAGGCTTGAAAACTTTTAGAACGAAATTATTAGATTATTCTTATCTCACTCTGATTTTCGAAAATGATAGTTTTTTACTTTTTATTGTGAAGAATGAGTAAATAAGAAAAACAACACTTACAAATTTAAGTCATTTTTTATAATTTATGGTCGAGTTTTGTAATGTCTCAGTTATTTAATTGACTTGAATATTGTAGTTTACTGGGACAAATATTTTGTACGCATTGGCAATCGGACAGCTTAAGAGTTCATAGAGTTATATCTTTATGTTATGTAAAATTGCGATTATTTGATTACTACTAAGATTTTCAATTTAATTTTGAATTGAATTTTAATTCAATTAATACTAGCCAAACAGTATCAATATGACATTTCATATACATTTTTAACTTAAATATTGCGGGGGAGTCAATATTACAGTAAATTCTTAAATAGAGTTCTCCACAGCAATTCATTCATACAAGTTTTGACTCAGTTCAATCTTAATCTAATCTTTAATTAATAAACATTTTTTCCCTGTAATCTGAAAGGTTAACATCATGTTCATAAGTAGATTAATAAAATGTATATTTTATTTTGTTTCTTTAAATAGTTAGGTTTCAAGCAACGTGTCATGCTGTAAACAAAACACGAACACTCAAAGATATAATGAAATTCATCACCAATGGATGTATCAAACAATGTTTGTTTCTGTTTTGTGTATGATTCTCAAAATTTAAAACAAAATAAAAGAAAAGGATAAAGGATTACATACGTCAAATATTATTGGGCAGTATTCTAGGACAATCATGTTAAATACATTTTACGAACACACATTATTATTGACGGAGCTAACATTTTTACATGTCACCGACTGGCGTAGATCTCCCTTTGTTGTACCATTTAAATAGACATATAACAATACTTTAAAAAATCAACAAACTTAAACTCAAAATTGTTCACATTTCCATCTCGGTTATTTCGTCTGAAACAGATAATTGCATCATGGAAACAATTCATATCTGACTAAATATCATACAGAAAATCATTCAGTCCATTTTCATGGAACATCAAAATCTAAATCTGTACAGTCATGTAATCATTTAGTTCTACTATTCAAATCACCAAGATACAAAGGTGTGTATTTATTTTCGAGAAAAAACTTAATATCGTCTTGTATTTCAGAAAAAGTGTCATCAATCTGATACTCTGGAATTTTCAGGTGGCACATATACTACCACAATTAAAATGTCCCTTATTTAAGATAAATTATTTAATTAGCAGAACCTGATTACATGTTTACTTTAACCCTCTATGACATGAACAAATGTTTTTAAATAAAATTTTACAGCAGAGTCAATAGCGCCTGATTTCCCTTTCGATATCTCTTTTCTATGTTTAAAGTAAACATCATAGTTTTCTATACTATCTGTTTTCGTTTCTTGAAAACCAATTATTTCAATGTTATTAAAATATCGTAAAATTCTGGGTATATCTGTTTTTGTGTTATACCACATTTAAAGACATAATATTGATTGTTCTAAACATTTCGCTATTCCTTTTATTGTAAAATTCTAAATAAAAATATTATCACGCCGTTTTTTTACGTGGTTATAACTACTAATATTTTCAGTAAAGATATTCTGTATTGAAGTTTATCCATGGCTGTCTAATTGTGCGGTGTTCGACTGCATGGCTGACTGAGCGACATTATTGTTATATAAAGGTTGATTTCCGAAATGCACAGAGTTTTCATGACTCTTTGACCACTCTGATTGAAAACGTGCTCATACAGAGTTGTCACGTGATCTCTAGTTTAACGCTTCTTCAAATGGAGGGATTTGCCCGATCAACATATCATACGGAACGGTACGTTCCGTACGGAGTCTAAGGTTCATTTTAGTGTGTAGATTTATGTAGATATGTAATTTGTCACAGCTGTTACCAATTGGTTGTGTAGATTTTACATAAACCTAACATATGGAAAATATGCAAAGCAAAGACGACACTGCTGTAAGATCAAACACTAAAAAAAAAGATAACAAGAGGGCCATAATTGCCATAAACGATCATCTGACATAAGTTGCCTGCTTAAAAAAATAAGGAGACCTAGTGTTTGACCCAACACGACATAGATTCGAACTTCTATAAACATTTTGAAATTAGAAGTTTCATTACGATACACAAATAAATTTGACGTCCAGAATGTTAGCAAGTTTTTCCTTAGATTTGACCTGATGACTTAGTTCAGGTTTGAACTTAGCAATCATAAATATTAATATTCTGAATAAGTTCCATGATCTCGACAGTGTTAACAACCCTTTCCTTTTATTTGACCTGGTGACCTGGTCTTTTTATCGCATATGACCCATATTAAAACTTGACCGAGGGATTATCAAGACAAACATTCTGACCAAGTTTCACAAAAATATATTCATAAATGTGACTATTAGAGTGTTAACAAAATTGTTGACGGACGGGTAGACGACGAACGAAAGGAGACCACAAAAGCTCTCTCTGTCAATATCTGATATGTGAGCTAAAAAGTGCTTACCGTAACATTTGATATAAAACTTGAACCAAACTAAAAGGCTTAGTGTACTTGCACAAAACAAAAAAGACAAGTTATAATATGTGCATCCAATACAAAATTGTACAGGGGTTTACAGCTTATATCTTAAATCAAGTATATACTTTTTTCATGGAGAGTATGATGTGATATGCACCTGAAATATAATATTTTTCAATAGTTTGTTTTCATGTGCACGTCACATCATAAAAAATTCACCACCAGAAAAGTCCATACTAGCACAACCTTATTGATAAGGTCTGATACTTAATCGTATACCGTAAAAATAAGACTGTGTCATGAAAATAATAAAATGGTGTCTACTTGGCATATAAACAAATCAGTAATTAGCAAATAAGCAAGTAAGCAAGTAGGAAATTGGCAAATAAGCAAATCAGCAGCAATTAGCAATTCAGTAATTGGCAAATAAGCAAATATTGGAATGTCCCTACCGGGATTCGGTAGGGACATGCCACTTTGCTTATTTGCCAACTACTGAATTGCTTATTTTGCTTATTGCTGATTTGCCAATTTGCTTATTTGCTAATTGCTGATTTGCCAATTTGCTTATTTGCAAATTAATTTAATTGTATACTACATGTATTGTCAGGAGACACGTCCGACTCGCGAAGTTCTTGTTTGTTATGACATAAAAAAGTCTTTGTAGACTTTATTCAAAGTTCATGAACCAATATCATGTTATTATGTTTATAAAGTTTTGTTACTTATAACTTGTGACAATTATGATCAATCCATCATTACCTAGAATATAGGTAGAAAGACAGATGGATACTTTTTATTCAATTTCGAAACAAATAAATTCAGTTTAAAAATGTAGTTGTTTTTTTAATTATCTTGAGTTTCAGTTTTAACTTCACTATTCAGAGAATAGGGATGCTATTCTACCCACCAAGGCATTGGTTTTCTTGGTAACTTGTTTTCTACCATATCTCTGTTACGTTTGTTGATTCATGCATCTTACTGCAACTTTGCATAAACTTTGCGTTACAGGCATGCATACAAAGTACATGAAGAAGCTGTGCCCGTTATATACTGAATGTCAAGGTCACCTCACCAATGTATTGTACTACGAAGCCTTTGTTTTTCTGTCATATCTCTGTTACTATTGCTTATATCTAACTGTAACTTCACATAAGCATTAAATAGGCAGCATGCATACACAGTATTCAAAGAGGCTTTGTCCATTAAATGCTTTTATTCAAATCAGAGGATGTTCCTGGTTGATTATCCTGGTGTGGCTTTCTTCTTGTTCTCTTGTGTCTATCCCTGCGTTCTAAAGACTGTGCTCCATAGCCAATAACATGTATCTTCATTGCCGTTCCTCGACAACATAAACGATCACTATAAGCATGAAATTCCTATATAAAGACGTTTAATTCGCGTTTTAGATACTTAACTTATTTAAAGTAGAAGGTTGAAATCGAGAAGCAGAATATGAATTATACTTGTACACGTATTTTTAAAATTACAGATTTTATGTTTTTTATGTCTCTTAATTTTTGGTGTGGCTTATTCAAATATTGTACCGTACAATGTATGTCTAAATTTTAAAAGTTTTCCACTTTTATCCTCGCTATTTTGGACAGTAATCCAGACGTTCCATCGCTCATTCTGACCTCAACTTACTTAAAGAGCCGTCGAGATTCTGTCGCACTTCATCTAGGACGTCAGACAAATTTGTAGGATGTGAATTATAAGCCCTCAAAAGCAAAAGAAATTCCTCCTTGCCAATTTTTATAGGCTGTACACCTTTTAAGAAGTGTACCTAGAGAAAAGAAATGAGTCATAAATATTTTGATTTCAAATATTTTGATTTCAAAATATAGAATAAATAGATAAAGAGTTTATTTAAATGAATGACAAAACAAATCTATTTTTATCTGAACAAATATACAAAATTAAATTAAAAACCGTCACATAGGCATGTATTTTTACAAGTAACCATCTGTATAATTTTCTTTGTATTGTCAACACTAACGTTTTAAAATAAAGTAACATTATTATACAAGTATGTGCGTTTATATCAATATTATTTTAAACAAGAAAGAAAATTATTAATAAGTGAAATACAAGACTAACCATCATTATTTCCACCTTCCATTTTACTTTTCATGTACAATATCGACAAACATTTGTGTAACATAGCCCACGTGAATTCCGTGCAGATTTGTGCTATATATGAACGACGAATTTTACACTATTACGGTACAAAAAGATCGTAGTAGTTTATAAAGCATGGTAACAATTATATCACACTAAGAATTCAGTTAGTTCACATAACAATAAATGTAAGAATAAATTTCTATTAGACATGCGTATAAGACATACATTGCTCTTTACTATAGGTTACCATGGACAATGAATAAATCAAAACAAAACGCTCCATTTTACCGGCGTTGGTGTAGGCATCTCCATTAACGTTTGACTTATTTACATGATTTTCGATTTTATTCGACTACCGCATAACAAGATTCTAAATAAAAGGGATATACCTTTTTCAATATACGTTTTGTAATTGTTGAAGGCATTTATGGGAAGACTCCTGCCACATTTTTAGATTTGTTGATTTGTTAGAAACTCTTCGTATTTATCATATAGGCCCCAGAAACTTTCAGCAAGAAACAAGAGTTCATCTTGTGCTTATGTGGTTTCGAAAATGCTCGACGTTTATGATGTTTTCGTCATTGTTCAACATGCCCGTGCCAAAGTGACTATGGAAATAAGGTTGCTTATCCTTTCTATTTACGTCTAAAATTTTCTATTTACGTCTCAAGAAGTGTCGTTTGGCCAATTGATTTTGAGTGGTTAGCCAAGAAAGGCACCTGGAACAGAACTCTAATAGCCGTAGAAGCTAAGTATGGAACTTCTCATATTCTCATAAAATCAATAGACCTGTGTAAGACCGCCAGGAATATTTTTATTCCTGACATCGGCAGTATCACGCAATTCATTCACAAATAATAGTTCATTTATTCTTTGTCACCAAAACGATGTCCAACAGTATCATATGTTACCTTAGATCGGCACAGATTTATCATTGTCATTGCTGATTAAATTTGTCCGAATAATGACCATATAATTGCCCCAGCTCAGAAACGACGTAAACAGGGGCGTCAACCGAAAAAGTGCATTGTACATAGTCATACTTAGAAAGTTATGGAAGTTTTAAGTAATCCGGGATTCGCTTGTTTAAATTTTTGTTTGAGGCGAAATTTAACTAGGACGTTGTGTCTCATGGTCATGCATCTCACGAAAAGGTATGTGGAGTATGTAGACGATTAGTTCATTCCGGAAAGTTAACCCCCGAGATATATGTTAAAATTCAGAACAAAAACAAGCAAACAAACAAACAATCAAACAAACAAACCAATAACCCAAATAAAAACATTTTACATACCTTAAACATGAAATCTGAACTGCATTTATATATAAACTATCATCTGGAATTCAAACATGCAAGCTATAGACTAACCACCATCGATAGAAATATAATATGAAAATGTTAATCAAACCGACCGTTATCACTCATTTTAGTGATGAAATTGTGTCAAATCTATTTACACAAATTTATTTTATCAGCATAATGACGTTCTCGAGATAATAAATTATACAGGCCGAATTTAGGGGGAGCGTTAGTGATGTGCACTTTTTTCATTATCTCTTATGTACAAACTCAATCAAACAGAGCCTGCAATTGTCATTAAATGTTGTTGTGATTAATGCTTCCGAGGGTTCACATTTTTTTCAGATATTTTTGTGAAAAGGAAGCCGAATAACCTGTTATAAATCAAAGCACTGAAAGTACTGTTGGAAGGAAATTTTCATAGAAATACCTAATGCGTGTGAATTAAAAACAAAGGAATATGTGCAAGCTTCAATCTACAGCTAGCTGATTTGATGACGTAAAATGTGACGTCATTGCTTCCGTTTTTGCACTACTCATGTTCAGTGGGCTGATAACTAGTTCTTGGCCCAGGGCCCCAAACCCATAAGTTGTGACACTCATAATCAGTTGAAATCATAGGCAATTCTGTTACTAATATAGTAATAAGTGAATTAATAGATAATACTACTGCATTATGCACACAAAGAACCACTCAGTTTGACCTAAATCGGCCATGACTTATATGACTACTTCATAGGAATTCAAGACCATGCCATAAGCATTATTTAATCATAGTTAATGAAGAGACTTTTTATTTTAAACTCAAGGACAAGAAAAGCTCATCATGTGCTTACATTTGTAAGTTCAAACATAACTAATTGTGTTTTAGTATGAAATTGATGTACATGCTGTTAAAGTCATAGCAAAACAAAGAACAATGATTTAAAATAAACTTTTATTGTCAAAACTTGCATAAAAATAAAAATATATGTAATATAAAAAATAAATGATTAAATATATGGAGATAATGAAATTTAGTTTGTCAGATAAAATGTGTAAAAGGAACTCCACTGAGGTTTTTTGACATGATGAGACTGAAATTTATTTTTCTAGATTAATGTACCACTTGATGTATGTTTTGACCACTACTCTTTGAGAAAAATTTCAGATCATTTGCGCACTTCGTTTTTCAAGAATAATTATTCAAGTTGTAAAAAAATTACCCAAAATGAAAGCGTTTAAACACATATCACGCAGACCAGGCTGAGAAAAGCATAAAAAAATTGATTTTCAATTCATTTCAAAGTATATTTCTTCACTATCTGTGCATATATTTCTGTATCAAGTGCCCCGGCTCATTTCTGTAGAAATTCAAATGTTATGTTAAAGGCTTTTAAACCTCAATGGAGTGAGTCCCTTTAAATTATTGGTACATATTGAGGTGATACAAGTTATAACAATCTGAATGAAAGAAGCTTTAATGCAAACGGCCAGTAATATAGGAGGTGCTGTTTTAAGGATTTTTTACATACAAGACTGACATTATACAACAAAATATAGTCAAAAGTAGAAATGTGCCCATAGGACTTGAATGCCTGCGTTTAGAACAATGCTTATATTGAGTGGGTAATCAAAATATGTACATAATTAGACAAGCCCACTGGCAGCATATATCAAGCCTGTTGCCATTATTCAGAACTGAACCTTAAAGCTTCAGATTGGGGAGAAAGATGTATACATAAGTGAGCATTTGTGATAAATGTTATGAAAATCCAGCCATGTATATAGAAATATACTCGCATGTTTTAAGTTATTATTTGACTTTTGATCCAAAGTAGTAACCTTGATCTTTGCAACAGACACCTGATTTTTCATACTACACTCCAACTCACTAAAGACTGTTAAATTTTGTCCAGAGTTATATGAAAAATCTTTATACATTTCAAAAGCATTCAAATATTATCAGTTATAAATCAATTTTTTGCATATGATTTGGTAAGGAATGCATAATGTTGTATAAATTTTTTGGAATGTAACTGAAATCATACTTGACCTGTGTTTTGATATATTGTTGAATATACCAATTATAAATTGAATCCTTAAAAGGTGTACAAATCTTATTGGTTAGCTTACAAGAGCATTTCTGTTTTCATATTTTACTAGGTAAAGTACAAAGAAATGATATTGTTATAATTTTATGAGCCATCACATCAAACCGTGATCAATGTAATATGAAGTATGGGAAAATAAGTAACAAGAAGTGCATGTTTAACTAAAACAGAATGTATGATTCAGAGGAACACTGTAAAAATAAAGTAAATAATGTTAAAAAAAAAAAAAAAAAAAAAAAAAACATAAAAAAGTTGACCATCATTTGGACTTTCATGAGTTGGCCATGCTAATCTTAGAATAAGAACATAAATAAAATACAACATTATACAAAAGGTAGTACAAAAAATACAATGATCAAAAGTTTCAAAGTGAACACTTGTTGGTAAAATAAACAAGAATTTGTAACAGAGATACCAACGTCCCCCGCCTCAGGGAAGTTTTATATGAAGCAAAAAATTGTGCTATTTCAAAAGATTGAGGCAGGGATCTAAGGATTTTCAGTCCAAAATTATGATCAATGCTGGATCTGCAAATGCAACAATAAATTTATTAAAGAAATAAAATGAAATAGGCCTACTGAATTTCAAAATATATCATGTTAAGCTTTGCAGGGATTTTTTGGCTTATTTTATAGCCGTTATTGGGACATATTCCCAATTGAAAATAGTATATTATTTTCCCAATCCAAAGGAAAATATTCCCAATTTAAAGTTACAAAAATATAAATATTGAATAAAGAATTTTAAAATCTTTTAAATTATAAGAGCTTCTTTACTGTAATAGTGTTTAAATGTTTGAAGAAGCCATCCTAGGCAGTGATTGCTTGCATACATTTAATCACTGCAAACTTTCAGTCATACATTTTTTCCCAATTTTAACAAAATATCTCTGAAATTCCAAGTTGCATGGGTATGGGTTATGTTCCCAAAATCCTGGAAAAAATCCCTGCTTTGACCTCTAAGTGTGACCTTGGAGGTAGGGGTGCAGGTGTTGTGCATGACATATCATCTTATCATTGTGACTATTTGTGCCAAGTATTTTCCAAATCCCTTCATCTATAAAGAAGTTATGGACGGGGCATAAAATATACCATATAACAGACTTTGTTACCTTTATACCTCAAAGTGTGACCTTGACCTTGGAGGCAGGGGTGCAGATGTTGTAATTGACATATTGTCTTATTATTGTGACTATTTGTGCCAAGTTATTTCAAAATCCCTTGAACTATGAAGAAGTTCTACATTGGACACAATATATACCCTTTAAAAGACTATGTTAATTTTTTACCTCGAAATGTGACCCTGACCTTGGAGGTAGGGATGCAGGTGTTGCACTTGACACATTGTCTTATTATAGTGAATATTTGTGCCAAGTGTTTTCAAAATCCTTTGATATACAAAAAAGTTATGGACCGGACAAAAAAAATACCCTACAGACTATGTTAATCTTAGACCTCCAAGTGTGACCTTGACCTTGTAGGTTGGTGACCGATTGTTGCGCATAACACATCATCTCATTGTTGTGAACAATCCTTTCAAAGATAAGAAAGGTATAGACTGGACACGAGATATACCCTCAAATGGACAATGTTGACCTTGAATGAGCAAGTGTGACCTTGACCCTGAAGGTAAGGGTCTGGTTGTTGCACATCATCGTCTTATTATAACAAACATTTGTGCCAAGTTCTTTCAAATTCCTTCAAATTCCTTCAATAAATGACAAAGTTATGGACCGGACACGAAATATACCCTGTAACAGGCTATGCTAATATTTGACCTCCAAGTGTGACCTTGACCTTGGAGGCAGGTGACCTGTTGTTAAGCATGACACATCTTCTCATTATTGTGAGCAATTGTGGCAAGAATTTACAAAATCCCTTTAGAGATAGGGAAGACCGGACACGAGATATACTCTCAAATAGACAAGTTGACCTTGAATGAGCAAGTGCGACCTTGACCCTGGAGGTAGGGGTCTGGATGTTGACATGACTCATTGTCTTATTATAACAATCATTTCTGCCAAGTTATTTCAAATTCCTTCAATAAAAGCTTGAAGTTGATAAAGATTTGTTCATACATATTTCAACAAGATTGTTGAACAAGAGGGCCAAGTGTATATAGGCCCCTGGAGAGAGGCCAGTTTAAACCCCAGGGCTTTTATTTGACCAAACTTGTAAGACACCCGTTAGAAGATGTTTCATGATGTTAAGTTTTTACTACACACTTATAATGTAAAACAAAGACCTCTGCACCACCCCCACCCCGGCATGGCCAATTTTTATACAAGGGCTTTTATTTGAACAAACTTGGTCGACACCATAAGATGTTTCATGCTAAACATCTAGGCTCTAGCTCATTGGTTTTTTTTAAAAGAAGATTTTTTAAGTTTTTACTATACACAAAAAGTTAAAAACAATGAAACCCCTTGGGCGGGGCCAGTTTTGACCCCAGGGCTTTTATTTGAACAAACCTTGAACACACTTACCAGAAGATGTTTCATGCTTAATATCTAAACTCTAGCTATTAAGGTTTTTTCAAAGAAGGTTTTTAAGTTTTTGCTATACACAAATAAGGAAAATCAATGACCCCCGGGGAGGGGCCAATTTTGACCCCAGGGCTTTTATTTGAACAAACTTTGTAGACACTTACAAGAAGATGTTTCATGCTTAATATCTAAACTCTAGCTATTTTGGTTCTTTAAAAGAAGATTTTTAAGTTTTTACTATATGCATATAGGGAAATTCAATGACCCCCTGGGGCGGGGCCAATTTTGACCCCCAGGGCTTTTATTTGAGCAAACTTGGTAGACACTCACTAGAAGATGTTTCATATCTTTAAAAGAAGATACTTTGTCTAAGCTCTAGCTCTTTGGGTTCTTTAAAAGAAGATACTTTAAGTTTTTTTCTTTTGGTTGCCATGGCAACCAGCGTTCTATGAACAATATTTAGAGGTGACCACCAAAGAAACATTCCTGTGAAGTTTGGATCAAATTGGCTTGATGGTTTATGAGGAGATGTCATTTAAAGTGGACGCCAGACGAAAAGCGATCAAAAAAGCTCACCCTGTCACTTTGTGACAGGTGAGCTAAAAATAGTAAAGTGATCTTATTTTCCTGGTGTAAAACTGGTGGCTCAATAAAGTTCTATACATATTATGATATTTCAAATATTGGAAAGTTATCTCTAGTTCTTGGTGAAAGACTGGTGACTAGTTTTCTCCTCAATGTCATTTCTTTTTCTAATTAGATTAAGTCATGGTACTATATTCATGAGGCTTTCGACATCACATCTAAGAACTCATTATCCAACATTGCAAAGGGCAGGCAGTCTCCTGATATTCCAATTTCTTTTAAGTTTTATAAAACCACAATATTTCTATTTCTTTAGTGTTTCCGACATGAAGACACATCTACATGTATCTTTCCTTATCACTCCTGCTTTTACTGTTCTATCATATAAGCGCCTCTGTTTCCTGAAATATTTGTTTAGAAAAAGTTAATTGCAAAGTTAAAATTCCTCTTGTAAACCCTTGCCGAGCACGAACTTACAGCAGTGAAAGGCTTAAAGGTTTAAAGTCAAGAAACTAAACCAATCAGTCACAGACACCCCAAGTATTTTATCTATTTGCTAAGCAGCAATTTTTTCAAAATTATTTAAATTCATAAATGTGAGTGATTCTGATAAGCTATAGACAGCTAAGTGATGATAAGATGATCATATATGTCAGATATGTCGGAGTGCTAACACTGCTTACTGTGAATATTCAATATTTTAATGTGAATTGTCCTGAGGTAAAAAGGTAAAGAAAGCTGAATTCCTAAATACATGTTACATGTCACAATTGTTCTTGCTATTAATTTTGTTCCTAATTTCTTGTATAAGATATTCAAATACACTGTAATTCTTTTTTTATAAATTTGGCTTTTTGTGACAATAGTCTATCCAGTGACCGAAGCTCACTGACTTAAAATAAACTGTCCTGTGTCTGCCTTTAAACAAGTCAAGAAAAAAAAAGCTATTAAAATATAATAATTAAGAAATATCATATACAAATACTTCTAAATAATCATGTACCTCTTCCTTAAAAGCCCATGCTATTGAAAGAAACATTTTTTCCATTTGTTCACTTCAAGGTTAGTCAGATTGACAGTCTCACATTTTAGCCTTTATCTCTCGTGATTTCATTATCATTGACCCTAAAGCATCCTTAAAATCAATATCCTGCTGTTCACATTCATAAATCTGACATGTAGGCCGAACTTCTGAAACATAAAATATAATTATTATTAGATATACATATAGTTTCCCAATAATTATGTTAGTTGATATCAAATCAATAATTTAAGCAGTGTTCGAAATTAGCAGTAGTCCGAGAGCCCGACTACTAAATTTCTCCTCGGGCTATCAACTTTTCACAGTAACAAGCCCGACCAGGCTACTGTATTTTCAGAGGCAATATAAACAACTGTTTTGAACAAATGAATTCAGCTAGTGAAATGTCTTTTGGACAAGTGAATATTCCAATCTAGTAGTCTGACCAGCCTAGTCGATTCAAATCCTAATTTCTTACACTGTTTAAGAAACAATTTGTTTAAAATTGTCCAAGCATAAAGATTTTTATAGTATACTATAGTAATTATAGTGTATATACAGTATGTATTAAATGTCTTTACTATCTACTATACTGTCCTGAAATTTCAAGAAAACAACTATCTTTAAAATCCATTTTCTCAGAAGTTGCAAAACCAAGTGAATGAAATTGCTCTGGGTTTGTATAATTCTGTACAACTTCTGATCACAAAAGCTTCAAGGACATTTATGAGTGAGTCAGGTCCTATCCTGAAAGATTGTTGTTCAAGTTTGAAGACAATCCATTCAAAAATAACAAAGTTATAGCCACTAATAGCAAAAATCAAGAAAATTTAGACATTTACCTTGAATGTTTATATGGTGGTCAAGTTAATTTAGTTTAGTCTGGTCTATTTGAAGGGTTGTTGTGGCCAAGTGTGAAGACAATACACCAAGATCTGAAAAAGTTATGAACAAGGTTAAAGTTTGATGACAGCAATGGGAAAGCCGTCATGACTAACAATATATTTAATAATGTTTGCCCTTATGCAAACTGAAAATTCTAGCCTATAAACACTGTTGAGACTAGCTGTTCAGCATTTTTTCAATAATAAATAAATGCAATGATTAAGTCGGTAACTTGCAAGTCTTCTAACATTTTTACAAAGAATGAACATATATATATTTTTTCCTTATAATTCTACAATGATGTTCAGTCATTAATATTATAACAAGATATCGGAAAGATTATAGATATATCAGAAATGAATTGGCCCGTGGACTTTAATGTCAATCATAGAGCTCTTATGCAAAATGTAATGGTAAGCAAACATCCAGCATGAAATTTTCAAGTAGCCATAAGTAAAATAAAATTATAAAAAATACTTTGTCATGATTCAATTACTGCTGGAAATTGACCCACATGTTTTATTACAAATTTATTACATCAATATTGTCCATAGAAATAATAAATTAATTTTCAGTCTCTTTCTCTTTGCGCTTTCACACAGATTTGAATTATTCAAGTCCATGATTTTCAGAAGGAAAAAATCTTCTGATCATCAAACACTAAAAATTACTATACCAACTGCAAATTGCAGTCTGTGCGAAAGGCTGCCTGTCCTCGGACCTCGCCAAATAAAAATCAAGAGGGCCATGATAAATTTTGATACAGTTATCGAATATCAATTGTACACAACAGTTAAATATAATATATCATAAACTTATTTCTATGCTAATAGATAGTCTATATACAATAGAAATGAAAAAGCAAATCCTACACAACAGTCAACACTGTAAATTCGAATCAGGGTCAGATCTGCCCTTAAACGTACTTGGCCCTCGAGACAGCTCGGCCGGGCCCTATTCCAACTCGTTTTTTTCAACGACAAAATGTTTCGATAAATTCAATGGACCATACGGATATGAACGAAGCTATCCGATTATGTGGCCCCAGCTTTGCCGTGTGCAAAATGCGCAGCGCTTTTAAGTTTGGGAACCACATAATCGGATAGCTTCGTTCATAGCCGTCTGGTCCATTGAATTTATCGAAAGATTTTGTCGTTGGAAAAAAACGGCGTTAATATTGATGTTTATTTCGGCTGTTGCGTTGTTTATATTACCGTTGAAGTTTAAAATTGACCATCATCGTGAAGAATTATATCTTCTGTGTCGATGGACCAAAGGATTATGTGAAAATATTGGAAATGGAATAAAATACATGGTGATTATGACGGTAGGGGTGCGGATTTTTTTCCGGCGAACATTTTTATCTTGTGTATTATTATAGTTGTTCAAATATGATTTTTTTTCAAAACGGCATATATTAAGATTTTTTGATATATATGATCAGTACATGACCTGGGATTGACAAATATGCATTTTATTTGGATTTTAAAGGCGTTTTGAGCTCCAAACCCCAAGTGTCTGTGGTCTTGCATGGAGAAATCTGAAAAACACGAACGTTATTCTGTCGCTGGTCCGAACAATGGCGGGTGTGCCCTACTAGTCAAATCCAAGTTTTACCAAATTGCATCCGTTAATTCCAGAATACTTTTGAAAGTCTTGTATTGTAATCTTGTTTTTTATTATTTATATAATAATATTTTTGTTTCAAACGCTTTGATTCTATGAAAGTTTGCGAACCATTTTTTTGCGAAAATAGTACGCTTCTTTAAGGCCACATATTGTATCCATTGTTTCCTCTTGAGTTATTGACGTAAAAAAAATCAGAGGTGGCATAAAATGCGATTCAATAAATTGCTAAATATATACAATAAATACTTTCATTTCCCTTCGGTTGACTTACATGTAAATTTTTCAGCATCTCTGCTACAAAATTACACCTTATTTATATTCAATTTATTGTACATAGGTACAGGGACACAAACTTTTCTTTGGCCTAATGCGTAATAATACTGATGTTTTTTTTTCGTACACGTTTAAGATTATGTTCCATTGATGTAAGCTAACATTGAAAATCATCATTTCAAGTTTTTTTGAACATCAGCTTTTTCTTCAAGTCATCCACGTTTGAAAGTATACATATAGTTCTGCTGCACTACTTTCTTGGTCGCATTAACTACTTATTTTCTATTGAGCTCAAACAGAATGCAATTAGGTGTTGTTCGTTCTTTTTAATATAGGCAGACCGATACTATAGAAAGGAAATTTTTTTTTAAAAAATTTCCTTCCAAAAACTGTTTTATCTCGAATGCCTATGTATTATAGGGATATTTTAAAAATTGTTCAAAGAATTCCATTCCATGCTGAATTCTGGCTACCATGGCAACCAAACGAAAAAACCTAAAACATCTTGTGAAAAACCAAAATAGCTAGAGCTTCGACGTCTTTTAATAGGTTTCTACCAAGTTTTTACAAAAAAAACGCCCTAGGGTCAAAATTGGCCCCGCCACAGGGGGTCATTGATTTTCTTAAAATGTTTTATTATTTGAATAAATGAATGAGTAGCCGACTTTTTAATTGTATTTTTTCCATATTGATGTTTTTATTATCAAACTGAACAACTGGTCCACTATCCCCAACACTGTGCACACAGTCTGTCCGATATATTATGTGTAATAGTTTGCATCTTAAATGCGTATTTTAATTATATTCCTTTTATTTTTACTTACGCTACTTTCAATTATTGTTATTTCGTGGGCGCAGCCATTATGTCGTTTATGCCGAAGTTAATCTAGTACGGCTTTATTCATTGGTTATATCTTTCCATTTTTATCCAATGTTTAATTGTTTACTTGGTCACGTGATTTTTGCACTTGTATTTACTATATAAACTCGTGCATTTCTTTATTATGCTAGCTAGGTGTATCGGCCTTCCGGTACTCCTTCGAAGCCTTAGTGCTTCAATTTTAATTTGAGAATCTATTTCTCTTCATTTTATTTATGCTAATTGCAAAATAATATTAGAAATCTAGTTATTATTTAAATATCGGAGGGCAATTCTTTCTATAAACCTATAAATTTAACGTAATCCTAATTAGAAAACATAGGTTCTATATATTTATTTATATACAATTGATTCATTCACACAATTAAATTTATAGTTTGAATTTAAAAGCTTGTTGTTGTTCGTTTGACTTGTATATTCCCAATCCCACTATACGGCCAAATTTTTTAGAAAATATTCTATGTGATAAAACATCACTTACAAAATACACAAAGTATAGTCTGGTACATATGTAACAAAATTATTGGACAACCAATCTTTATCCACAGTATCTTTGGAATGGATGACTTTTTTCAGAAATACCGTATTTCCTAAATCCTTAGAAAAATACTTGTCCAGTAAGTTTTAATAAACAAATTCTATTGTAAACATAGACAAAACCTTTTTTTGAAAATAACTTTTTTGTGACAATTGAAATGGTATCTGTCTGTTCAAACTATACAGATAACTCGCCCCTTCATCAGATATTTCTCAGTTAAACACTTCTGTGATGACATTATGTATACGTGCCTCATTTGTTCTAATACATTCATTCAGAACAATTCTATGTTTAAACACAGAAGAGAATAATGAGCTTTTAATAGAAAACTGACCATCATCATCAAGTAATAAATTACATACAGGTGGAAGTTGATAAACGTCTCCTACAAAGATAAACTGCATATGACATTTCTTTTTTTTTGGCAGACTGCTTAAACACATACAAAAAAATTTCTCCTTAGCATAGAACATCCGACTTTAACTTTACAGTCTACATTTAAATTTTCATCAACATAGCTATAAACGGGTTGTTTGCATGAACACTGTTGATTTCTTTTGGATTATATCGCCCATCATTAAAACCAAACAACTTGTAAACAGTACACACGGACATTGAGTATTGGTATAAAGAACAAGCAATACCTGTTGTACATGTTACTTTTACACGTATCCCATCTTTCAACATTCTTTTATTAATCCCACAAACAGTAAATGACTTCCCAGTACATGCTGGTCCAAGAATTAATGAATTATCTCCACTGATAGCAATGTCAATTGCGTCATTTTGAAAATTTAATTTACAGAACATAAACTGTAAAAGAGACATAACTATGTACCATGCATTTTCAAGTGTCGTCCATGAACACGCTCAATTAAACCGTGCCTGCAACATTTTTCAATATTGTCGTTTTGGGGCATTCTTTAGGGATTCTGTTCTTTTATATTTGAAGAAAATATATAGCAGGGAAATTGGGATCTTGATCAACCTTGTACAATCATGACAATGTTTATAGCATTATTATTTTTAATGTTTCAAGTTACCGTCATGTTGTCTATGAAATGTGGAGTGGATCGCCGCTATGTGACACTTCATAAGTAATATGGTTTATATCAGTATGTTATTTTTTTATTTGCACAGTTTACCATTTCTGTTTTAATGATTCTTCAGATAAACAACAGAAGACGAGATCCACGTGTTTACAACGTGCGATTGACGACGTTTCGGTCTTTCACTGTCTCCGGTACCGAAAAGCGTACATTATCACAACACCAACACGGTTATACAAAGTGGGGATTAAATATACATATTACTTGATTAAAAGCAATCTTAATCATTAATAAATATGCCAATTATGAAAAGCTATATATTTTTTACGTTCTTAAATGAATACAAAGAAATTTATTATTTGTTTTTCTGTCTCCCGTGTCCTCTAGATAGATAGGATAGGATAGGATAGGATAGGATAGGATAGGATAGGATAGGATAGGATAGGATAGGATAGGATAGGATAGGATAGGATAGGATAGGATAGGATAGGATAGGATAGGATAGGATAGGATAGGATAGGATAGGATAGGATAGGATAGGATAGGATAGGATAGGATAGGATAGGATAGGATAGGATAGGATAGGATAGGATAGGATAGGATAGGATAGGATAGGATAGGATAGGATAGGATAGGATAGGATAGGATAGGATAGGATAGGATAGGATAGGATAGGATAGGATAGGATAGGATAGGATAGGATAGGATAGGATAGGATAG